TGCTCGCCAGCCAGCCAGAGAGAGACATAGAGACAGAAAGCGAGAAATCACCCCCCAGAGGGGATGGTCATGCCGCAATCCCTTCTCCTCTATTCTCCTTTCGGGATCTTGGGCACGTATGCACACGCGCCTGGCGTGAGTTTTAAGCCACCATGTCCGGGACACGAACCTCGGTCGACTACGTGGGAGTCCAGCGACATAGCCATTATGCTAACTGCTGGTTCCCAGCCGGGGGCTAATTTCTTGCTTTCTATCTCTCTGTCTGTCTCTGTCTTTCTGGTTAGTGCACGTGCCCTATAGCAAAAACCTTTCCCAGAAAAACACATTTTGAAACCGTTTCTTAGCATTGTATTTTAGCAAGTTGAAGAGAGTTGGTTTAGGGGGATGGGAGTGTTAATTCTTTTTTCATTAAAAAAAATTATATTTAAACTTTTGGTACTAATTTGAAGATAGTTTTCTGTACACTTATATTTAACTAATGTAACTGCTGATTATAAAGTTGGATTTGTATTTCAAAGCTGAAATAATTGCAGAGGAACAAATCACAAAGACAGTAGGATGTATTGGGGCAGTGATCAAGAAATTATGTTTAAATACTAGAATGATAACCTTTAAGTCTAAAGTTATCCTTAATTTTAGTCAGAGCTCTGTGGGTAATACTGCTGAAGAACTGCCTCTGTACAAAGGAAAGCAGCCATCCTACACAGTAATATAGTCTCCAATGACCCTTCATTTTGGGAAGTGAGCCTTGATAGTGATTTGGAAAAGGACTTCCTCCCCACCTGTTGACTCATTATCATAACAATGAAACTTTGAATTGCCTTCAAACTCAAGTTCCTGGACCCAAAGTTTAGAGGAGGTACTGAATTTAATAATTATCCTAAGAAATTTTGAGAATTCACTTTGTACAAAAAAAACCCCAAAAAACCTTACCTCTTTTTTTAAAAAAAAAAATTATCAGAGGCCATGTGCACTATCCAGAAAGAGACAGAGAGAGTTAGGGAGGGAAAAAGCACAGTCCAGTCGGGCATGTTCTTATCATAGCCCCATCTCCTTCATTTTCCATCCTGTTGGGAGTTTGGGCAGGCAGGCACACTTGCCTGACCCCTATGAGGGTCAGGACGCAAACAGTGGTCAGCCATGTGGGATCTGGCTTATCTAATCACTAGGCGATGGAGTTGAATCTACCTCTGTACTTTTAAAAATTGTTATAAGTCATTTAAATGTAAGTGCTAAACACTTAGATTTTACTGAAATATAAAGAAATTAGGATAGAGAATGTCTTTATGATATTACTGAATGTACCACATCATCTGTTTCTTCCCTTCTGTTTTGCATTTCCTTGCCCTATTTATTTCTTAAGTTTATTTTATTCATGATAGCATGAGAGAGAGAGAGAGACAGAGAGAGAAAAAGAAGAACCTTCAACAGGGCCTCCTTATATTGCCATCCCCTTATTTCAGCCCACCAGCTTGTCAAGATTTTGGGCACATGGCTCCCATGATCTGCATTTTTTAGATTGACCTGGCGAAGAGCTGAATCCCTAGTTGGTTCTGTGACTTTCAGCATTGCATTTCAGTACTCCGCTGATTACCTCACCTAGGCTGTGCCTCTTGCCCTATTTTTAATGATTACTTCTGAACTGTAACTCTTTAACATGGGCTTGATGGGCTATAGTTTAATTGAATGGTTGATTTGTTTAAAATGGGATGAGGACTTTATAAAAATGATTTGGCAGATCTTCTGTTCTGGGATGTTTACATGTGTTTATTATTTCATCATACTTAGGTGTTAAGTTAGTGCTGCAATAGAATAGCACTCGAAAATATATCAGAAATTGAACTCGGTTTGAAATATGTCAGGATCTGAGGATATTCTTCAAAATAGACATTAACAGGTGTGAAGGAGGTTAGAGAAATCATAAAGGTTCTTTAGTGAATAAATTTTGGGATAACTGGGGAGGAGGTGCTCTGGATTGTGTAGCTGTGATAACTGTTGAGTCCCAGTTTTGTGTGTGTGAAGTTGTCACCTCTTAATTTTGTGCATAACCTCTCCATTAGATTTGTAATGAGACTTGAAATGTAAGACATATTTGTCATATTTTTCTTTCTTTCAAAAATTTTGCTAGGAGGTGTGTGTGCTCAACCAAGAGAGACAGAGACACAAACAATGTGAGAAAGTACCTCCCATGGCAGATGGTCACCCTGCAGTCCTTTCTACATTTCTCCTTTTGGGATTTTGGGCACTCACGCACAAGCACCTGGTGTGTCTTTCAAGTTGTCAGTGCCAGAGGCAGCTTGATTCTAACTGCAGAGTTGGCCATTTGGGATCCAGTTGCCTTAACCACCATGATGATGATTGGCCCTATTTGTCTTATTTCTTTAATTAATTTGATTTTCTTTGAAATAGTGCCTTGATTTCTATAAATTCCACAAGTCAAATGTGAACTTCTTTTTCTTTTTCTTCAAACCGCTTCTTCTCTCTGCTCTCCATTTCTTTTTGACAATACCATTCTTCTAAATGTTTTGCAAATTGCAAAACCTGGCTCCTTTCCTTTGCTATTATTTCCACAATCAACCAGTCACTGAATCTTGTCTAGTGGAAGCTTTTAAAACTTAATTTAGCGGTAGGTACTTCTCAGTCTGGCTACAAACTCCTTTTCTGTTTTTGTTTGTTTGTTTTTAAATTTAATTGCCAGAGGGCATGAACAGTTGCCAGAGAGAGAAGAGCGGAAAGGGTAGTCAGCATCTCCTTCAGCCCCAGTGGGACATGATCATGCCAAAATCCCTTCTCCATTTCTCCATCCTTTTGGGAGTTTAAGCACACACGTACAGTACCATGCGTGTTTTTCAAGCCATGGGGGCCAGGATTCTAATTGTGATCAGCCACGTGGAATCTGGCTTCCTTAACCTAGTAGGCTCCTGAGCCAGCCCTACTTTCCATTTCATTTTTTTCTTTTCCTGTGTAGTGAATGAAAATCTTCAAAATATCAGTAGTTGATTTGTATATATATTTTAGATCCCTTGTTAGATTTTAGTCGCTTTAAGGATAAGGACCTTGTTTTGTTCATATAAGCCTTGAGTTATCAGAAAAGTCATGATACATTTTGCATATAAAAACACGTCATGACTTTTCCAACAATGCACAGCACCTTGTAGTTATAATGTTCAGTTAGTAATTTGGTGTGAATTAGTGACTACCCAAGTACAGATATATTTTTACTTCACCTTAGTGTGAAACTCTGAAACATAGCCACTGTTATTTGAAGTTAACTGAAATACTGTGAAGTATTATCTGCCCTTTTACCCTTTACTCCTTTTGCACATTTGAATTCTACCCTGCCCACAGTATAGCTCTTTCTGTTAAAGTTTATGCTTCAAGACAGGTGACCATTTCTCCTCTGCTTTTACCACTGTATGTAAACTGTATCCTAATTGTCTCTTTTGTTTCAATGTAGCTCTAGTCCAGAGTTAACTCTGTGAGGGCAGGACTGACCCCACTGCCTGTATATGATAGAATTCAATACTGATTTGTTGAATGCCATATTTCTTTCCTTTTTTTTTTTTGAGAGGTTTTTGCTGCAGGGTGCGTTCCCTCCCAGAAAGACAGAGGGACAGAAAGTGAGAAATCAGCCCCCAGGGGGGATGGCCATGCCGCAATCCCTTCTCCTCCATTCTCCTCTTGGGATCTTGGGCATGCACACACACGCGCCCAGCCGTGAGTTTAAGCCACTGGGTCTGGGACTTGAACTGCACTCAACTACATAGGAGTCCAGTAACATAGCCATTACACCAACTGCTGGTCCTGAATACCATATTTCTTAAATGGGGGTATACATATTTAGAGTATGATGAATTCTTAGTTGGTTACCCTCAGTGACTTTCTGAATTCTGGTCTAGGTTTGATAAGAGCTAAATGGTTTCCTGAAACTAAGTATTTCCAGAGCAAGTTGCTTTGTCCTTTGAAATGTCTACATAATATCCAGCACAGATTGAACATACAGGATGTTTTTACACTTCGGATAATTCAGTTGGACTGAACATTTTTATTTAATGTAGTCAAACTATTCTTCTACATAAAGGTTCCTTTGATAGTCAGATCTCTGAATAATATGAACTGGATGAGACTACTAGTTTATTATTGGTATAGTACCAAGTTGGCAGGCATGCATATGTTCATTATTTGACTCATAGTTATTGAGTGCTGTGTGTCAGGTATTGACAAATAAATACTTGAAGCAGCTTGGGTATGGAAGATAATTTAGTCTGAACATTAATTTTCCACTATTTTGTTTTTCTCATTTATACCTTTTATTGTGTTAATGGTTTAAAACAACAACTCTTTTACTATTTCTTGCCATTCTGTGGGTTGCTGGCCTTGTCTAATCTCTCTAACATGGCTATATTCAGCTGGTAACATAGCAAGGGAATAGGTCCAGTGGAGATGGCCTGTCCTCTGTTCATGTGGCCTTTCATTTTGAACTTCTTCCCAGCTTGGTGATGTGAGGGTTTCAAGAGAGCAAGGCCTTCAGGTGCAAGTGCTTAGCAAGGTTTTGTTTACATTGTATTTGCTGATGTTCGGTTAATGAAGGCAAGTCACAAGCCATGGTTAAAGTCAGTCTAGAAGGGGACTATAAGGATGATCTTCAAAAAGTTTATACAAAGTACTTATTATGAAAAACCTATGCATGGATTTTTAAGATATTTTACAGTAATATAAATTTATAATTTCATTCCATGAAATTTTTAAATTCTCCCCCATACATAAAAGTGGTGTACAGGGGCTATACTGAAAAACACACGTAGTTCATTGGAGGCCATTGAGAATTTTTGAGATACAGATATGTATATATTTTTAAAGAATTATTTAATTTTATTATCTTTTTTTCTCCTAATTTGCTATAGGACATACATGCTCACCAGATAGCGACAGAGAGAGAATGAGAGTGAAAGTGAGAAAGCAAGCCACCAGGTCTGGGACTCGAACTGTAGTTGACCATGTGGGAGTCCAGTGCCCTAACTACCACACCACCTGCTGGCCCATGTGTATGTATATATTTCATAGGGTTGTCAGAAAAGTCATGATGCATTTTTACATAGAAAAACATAGAAAAAAATGCATCATGGCTTTTCTAATGACCCAGTAATTTGCTATAAGTATGCATGCCCTTGGTGGAGAGAGATGAGAGTAGAGTAAGAAATCTCTTCATGAGGGATGGTCACATTGCTCTTGTTTCTCCTCTCTTTCTTCTTTCAGAGGCGCACACACACACACACACACACACACACACACACACTTCTGGTATGTTTTCTTTACCACCAGGGGACTTGAACCATTCAGTTAGTCATCAGATCAAGCTACCTTAATCACCACATCACTGGCTGGCCCTGGTTTTATATTTTAACCAGTTTCAGAGACTAACAGTTTCATTTCATAATGGTTGTTTCTATGGCAAAAATGAAGTGAAGCTGTCAGTATGTTATGTTTTGATTGTTAAAAGAAAATTTTATGTTTCCTAATTATTCAGTTGTTGGAAAAGACATGATGCTTTTTTTTCAAATAAAAAATACATCATGATTTTTCCGGCAACTCAATAGTAATTATTTATTTTTTAATGCCACAGAATGCATGCATGCACCGGATAGAAAGAAAGGACCCGTCAGTGTGTCCTGGTCATACTACAGTCCTTTTTCCTCTTTCCATCCTATCAGGATCCCGAGCACATGCTCACACATGTACCTAGCATGTTTTCCTTTCTTTTTTTTTTTAATAAAAAACAATAGAATTATTATTTATTATTATTATCATTAAAAATTTGACTAGAGAGAAAGCAAGCTGCCAGGTTTGGAACTTGAACTGCTGTCAGCTCTATGGGAGTTCAGTGCCCCAACCATCACACCACCTGGTGGCTCCCTGGAATGTTTTTTTTCTTTGGAGAGATTTTTGCTATAGGGCGTGTGCGCTCACCAGACAGACAAAAAGAGACATAGAGACAGAAAGCGAGAAATCACCCCCCCCAGGGGGGATGGTCACGCCACAGTCCCTTCTCCTCCATTCTCCTCTCGGGATCTTGGGCACGCACGCACATGGCGTGAGTTTTAAGCCACTGGGTCCGGGACGTGAACTGCAGTCGACTACGTGGGAGTCCAGCGACATAGCCATTACGCTAACTGCCGGTTCCCTCCCTGGCATGTTTTTAAGCCACCAAGGCTGAGATTCAGACTACAGTAGGTCATGTGGAATTTGGCTTCCATTCCACAGCACTTAACCTGTGTGCTATGGGGCTGGCTCCCAGTTAGCTATTATTATTGTTTGTAATGCTAGAGGGTGTGTGGTTATGTGTGAGAAGGAGAGAGAAAGAGAGAGAATGCATGTGTACCCCCCAAGTGGCCTGGTCATATACATTCCTTTTTTCCTCCAACTCTGTCTCTCATCAGGATCTTGTACAAGCATACAGCATATTTTTAAGCTGCTGGGGCCTAGACTTGAACCTTATTGAACTTGATCCTGTGGGATCTGGCTTTCTCTGTAGGCCCAGCCCTGAATGATAGTTTTATAGATGCTAAGGATCTTAGATATGGAAGTTACTTACCTATAAAGTCTCTTCTAAATAAGGAAACTGGTTTAGAGATGAGAATAGACTTGCCTAGGGTCACACAACTTGATAAGTGGCAATGCTATAGCCAGAATCTTTTTTTGTTCTGGAATTTTTTTAGTTGCCCAGTATTCACAATACTCGGCTCCTCAGGAGGGAGGTGGGGTATAGTTTGAATTCATAGGTCGACCTAAGGAGTTATTTCAAGGGCTGATCAGTAAAGCTGCCTTTCAGTAATGCTAAAGAACTTCTCTTACCATCCTTATATCACTTTTACTTTATTCCCAGTTGGTAGCATCTGAGTTAAATGTTCTTGGTGACAATGTGTGAGACAAATATATGTCTTTAGATTTTCCTACCTAAACATTCTACATACATGAATTCTGTGAGAAATTGAAAAACAAAATGATATGAAATTATAAAGGTCATACTTTAACCTGTTAGTAGTAAAATTTTTGAGAGGAATTAACACATTTGCATTTGATTGATTTTTAGGTTTCTTGCCCTGAAGTTTCACCATCCATAGGTATAGTATTAAAATACTGAAGGCCTATCTTGTTAAAATAATTTTCTTCTTCTAGAATTGGAGGCATATGCTGGAGTTATCAGTGCACTTCGGGCACAGGGGGATCTCACCAAGGAAAAGAAAGATCTTCTTGGAGAACTCTCAAAAGTTCTTAGGTAAATTATCGTACACGTTTGTGAGATGTGACTCTAGAAATTCCACTTTGAGGAGTTTCATTACTTTTACTCTCAAATTAAGTTGAAGATCAGAGGTATTCACATTTTTGGTGCTTAGAGATCCCATCCCACTTGTGTACTCTGTAACAGAAAATTATATAATGTACCATTCATGATGTAATCAAATCAGAAAGGGTTTAAGGCAAGTTATTTTTGTCTTGGACCACCTGAGAAAAGGAGGTACTTTTGATGTAGTTAACCTATGAATAGATGACAAGTGGATATGATGATTTAATGTGGCATCTGCTGGAAGAAGATGTAAGCAAAAATGCCTTAATTTATTCAACTGAGTAGTGATTTTATAGTCATAGACTTAAGCATAGTCAGTCCCTTCTGCTTACCACTAGAATGGCACTTAAATCCAATAAAAAATCCAAATGACAGTAGTTCCTTGATACTGACCTCGATACAGTCTAATATCTTAAACTTTCTCAGAAAATGTTATGGTTAACTCGAGTGTCTTACCTACACTTAAACCATTTGTCCTGCTTTTTTTATTTTAAGTGAAAATATGGAAGAAACTCTTCTTGTTATTTAGTTAGCATTAGTATAAGGATGTTACTAAGCCAAATTCTTAGTCTTATTGTTTTCATTGTTAACAACTTATGTATTTTGTTTATGTTTCCTTGTAAACTATTGCCCTTTAAATGTTTTTGTCCTGGTATGGATTTAGCTTAAGCGATAAAGAATACAGTGAGAAGAATGGTATTCATTTTATTGAGTATTATGAATGGAATGAGTATAGTCTTTTATTAGTTGTTTATATTCATTTATTTAATTAGGATCAATATAAGCATATTTGACCATTGGTAACATAATATATAGAAGACACACAGCTGAGGTGTTGAATAATAAAGTATTACTCTGGGGTCAAGTTTTATTGCATATAGCCACAGAAAATAGATTATTTGCCACTCTCATTTCTTCATTATATTCACTGAATGTAAAATTAAAGACTCTCAAGCTTTAGAAAAGACCTTGGAAGACTTTTTCTAAGTGCCTAAATCCTCTTTTCAGCAGTCAAGATTAGGAAGTCATTCAGTGTCTGTTTGCATATTTAGATAACAGGAAGCTTTACTAATCTTGTCCATGGTTTGACATTCCTGAGATTTGGAAGTAATGCCTTGATATCAGGCTGTATTTGTCTTCTCTGATTTCTCATTTGCTACTGATTCTTTCTGCAGTTACACAGGATCAGTATAAATCCTTTCTAAGACTTTAAATTGTTTGAAGATATATGTTAGGCTTCTGTCTAATTCTTTTCACAAAGTAATCTTGAACACCCCTCCCTCAAAAAAAAAAAAAAAAAACCCAAATGTTGACTTACACATTAATAAAAATATAGAAAAGAGCTGCCTGCTTGGCAGAGTTCTATAATGGCTATTTTTTTTCATAGCATCTCAACAGAACGCCACCGTGCTGAAGTTCGGAGAGCAGTAAACGATGAACGGTTAACAACAATTGCACATAAGTAAGCCATTAGTCGTACCACCCCTGATTTTTTTATGATGTAGTATAATGCAGTTTTGAAACAATCTTCCTATTGTGTAGCAGATTCCTGAGTCTTTTACATTAACAACAGTATCTCTTAATCAGGGATCCTGCTCATAGAGGTAAAAGCTGCATTAACTGTTTATTCAGTTGGTTATTCTCTTTGCTTTTGGTTAGGCAAGCTTTAAGTACTAGGTCAAATCCTGTTACAATGTAATCTCTGTATAACTATAGACCTCCACAGTTGAGCAGATGATTTACTTACTTGAACAAAGTTTAGTAACAAAATAGTGTGCCCTCTAAAATTGAAACCCCCTTAGAGATTCTTTGTAATGTGCTTGATATATGCATTGCTTTATAAATAGGCATTATAAAATTTGGTACCTGATTCTAATTATTTCATGTATTTGAGATTCACAAGAAAAATCTGTAACTATGTATATTTTACTTTTAAGAAATATGAATATGTATCTTAATTTATTTTACAAAGAGAAAATGATAAAAGATTTTTTCAGAATTTTTTCACATCATTGTAACTGTTTGACAGATGGGTGGAGGGTGATGAAGGACTGAGGGTAGGGATCAAGCATTAAGTAAGTATGTGTGGAGACAGTGCCTCCCAAAGAATAGAAAGGAATAAATGATCTTTTAAATGTTAATACAAGATGATAGAAACATTTCATCAAATACGTTATAGTTTAATAACATTGCTTTCTATTTTTATGTTTCATGAACAAGTCAGTGCATTTCTGTAATATAATAAATAGTGTAAACTAATCGGAAGTATTCGACCCCAAAGATCCATTAACTTCATGTGCTTCACTGTATTGTCCCTCATTTTATTTAACATATAAAATGGGACACTACCTTTTTAACACATAATTTGAAGGTTTAGCGTTTTATCTTAGAATTTTGAGGTTCTTTAGTGGTAGGTATGCACTGTAGAAATTTGGACATTTTCTATTAGAGACAGTGTTTAGTTGTTAGGCTAACATGGTTGAAACATTTAAGTGTTAATATGTTCTTTCTTTAATTTGCTCTAAACTTTTGAATTGGGTTGCTCTAAAAATAATGATAACCAAGCCTAGATTCTAATTTGAGAACTGCTAATGGAAATTTACGTTCTAGATAATAAAGTAGTAAGAGCGAGCTTGCGTTGAGAGGCACTTAGCAAAATTAGTACTTTGAATCATTGGAACAGTATTGTGGGGCAACTAGTTGTAAGTTGATGCATCAGTTTCATACTTAAAGGATAACATTTATTTAGTCTCCTTTTCCTTTTTTCCCCTTTAAAGAATGAATTTATCCTTATATTTGGGTGAAAGACCAAGTTACAGGTATGCAAATAGGTTATTATTATTTCAGGCTTTTTCTTGTATTTATTTCCAAATTGAAGCTCTCAATTATTCAGGGGCACATTCTTCCATTTATGAGTTAAACCACGCCCCTTGCTTTTCCTTCTCTTCCCCTTTCCCCCTCCTAATACTGCCCACTGCCCACCCTTTAGCCATTTTGCTGCTTGGGAGTACCTCTAGTCAGAGGGTGGGAAGGGAGAGGAGGTAAAAATTTTAATTAGTCCTTTTACTACTTGTTAGTTGTCCTGGAAAAGGTTTGGTGGAAGAATTTGCAAATATTTGTCAAAATATTTTTGGATGGTATATGGGTTTCTTTAATCTATTTAACCTCTCCCTTTCCCTCCTCTTTCCATTAGCATGGATAATTGAGAGTTGGCTTTTATCTGCCTGTGTTTCTTCTTTTTATTCTCTCCTTTTAAAAAATTTCTTTAATACATGAATTTCACTTTTTGAAAAGAGTTTACTTCAGTGTGTAATTGTAAGTGTCTTAGGTCTTTCGATACTCCTGCTTTAATGTTTTATATTATGGTTTTAGTTTGACCATATACTTTAGTTTAGTTACTTGTTGCACCTAAGGGTCAGTGAGTGGGGTTTGATAAAGAAGTAGATCCATCATCCTTCCCATTTCCTGTGCCCCTTTCCCCTCAGAAACAGCAAGAGCCTAGTTCCAAAGATTATCTATAGGAGAATGGTTTCAGCACCCAGCCGGAAGAAACAACTGGAGGAATGCATTAGAAGGGACTGCATTCCCTTTCTCCTTTCCATTCCCCTCCCCCACTGAAAACAGCATTTAGGCCAGAAGGAATGTGGTTGAAAGGTGATGAGAAAGCTGAGAAGATGGAGCACAGAAGGGGAAACAAAAGCAGTGGGTTTCTGGCTTGAAGCATAATGTTTATTGTTTGGCACCAGGCCACTTAATTAAGTTGGGTACTCTAATTCAGCTTTGAATTATGTCAGAATATCACAGTAGTAAAGTCCTGGATGTCAAGGAGCTTCAGATGTTATTGGATCACTCTGGCCTGCCATTGCATCTGGTAGGAGAAAGTGACTTTCTGGAATTTTGGCTCTTAGCCCTTTCTCCATCAATCAAACATTCACAGGCTACTCTGTGTGAGGATGAGGATTTCTTAGGTACCCTGCACATCAAAGGCTGTGAGGACCAAGGTAGTTTCATTAGTATCATCTTAGGTTTCTCAGAAGGGAGCTAGAGCAAGGTCTTTCTCCACCCTTGAGACTAAAGTGTCCCAGTGAAGCCTTACAGTAAGATGTTTTAAGTTTTTTAAAATTCAGTTTAGATGACTTGTGCAACTAATACATATTTGCACCCTTATTACTAAGCAAATGGGAATTTTCGATCTAGCATGATATTTAATTTTTTTACTCAAAAAAAGTTTGAGCATGTTTGCATGAGTGGAAATTTGGAAGATTCATAGAAATATCTAAAAGTTGCAGTTGTGTCTTTTGCACTGCAAGTTTTGTCTTTTTAATAGCATATATTCTTATGCTTCAAATTATTAATCTTCCATATTTTTTGCCACCATTTAAACAATGCATCAGGTAAGTGTAGACATCACTTTGTGCAGCAGACTCTCATCAAGAGAGTATATTAATTAATATCCTGTTAAAATGATAGCAAGATAGTAAACCTATAAAATGCTGAATAGCTTTTAGAATATTTTTTCTTTAACAATTATCTATAGCTCTTGTTTGTCTCTCTTTCTTGTTTGTGCCATTCTTTGTTTCAGGCTAGCAAAAACTTGGAGAATATGTAATAACAAATTTACGAGGGTTATTGGGGTCTTAAAACTCCTCTTTTCCTTGCTTTAGGTAGGACTATGTTAAACCATGAGAAAATTTATTTTTCACAACACCCATTGAATTAATCAGCTCCTAGAAATTCCTTTCTGAACCGAACTTAAATCCTTCTTAAATTGGAAAGTAACTTATTAGGAATACCAGATGGTGTAATGGTTATGTTGCTGGATTCCCACATATCTCACTGAAGTTCGAGTCCTGGGCCTAGTGGCTTGAAATTCATGCTGGGTGCCTGTGTCAAAATTCCAAGAGAAGAATGGAGAAGGGATTGCGACTCGGCCATTCCTCTTGAGGGGTGATTTCTCGCTTTCTGTCTCTCGTTTTCTCCAGTGAGTTCACTGTCCCTATTGCAAAATAATCTCTCTTAAAAAATTTGAAAATAATTTATTCTATTCAGTGAAAGCTGGTAGTAATTAGATAGCAGAACCCAATCAGTTTACATCAAAGGCAAAAGTTAGACATAAAAGTTTTTGATAGAAATTTATTTTTATACTTTATTCATTTATGATGTGGGAGATAATTTCAGTAGTGTAATGTATTTTTGTTGAAGGAGACATTCATTAGTTGTGTGACCTTGGCAAGTTATTTAACAACGTCCACCTATAAAATGGAAGCAAGGATACTACCAATTTCATAGGATTATAGAGAGAACTACCTGAGTTAATACATGTAAATGTTTAGGACAATGCCTGACATAGAAAGTTCTTAATTGATGTTAACTGTCCTCATTACTACCACTATCATCATCATCATCATCACCATCACCGTTTCTGTCTATTAACAAGGGCTTTTGTGCATTCTTACCTAAATCTGAAGAAGGAGTGGACATAGCAATGTTAAACTCTAGGCTGGGGCATAGAAGCTATGGTTTGAAATAAGTGCAGAAATATTTCTGACCTAGTGAGGGGATTGATTTTTTTCCTTGGTAAATTTTAAACCTTGACACTACTCACTAGTCAGGGTCTTTCATGGAGCCAAGTCAAGGAGTTGACACAACCACCTTTGATATGTCAACTTTTGATATGTTAACTTCTGGTGGTATTCTGGGGTAAAATGGACTCCAGAAATTTAGGGTGGAGAAACCAAGAGAGGTGTCTGCCTAAAGATAGAGTCTAATTACCTTAAATCCTTCTTAAGAGTAAGGAGTGGCATCAATAAATAAAAATAAAAGTAGTGGCAAGTTTCTTCCACTGTCCTCAGATCTGGTTTATTTTTAACAGGAAGGATGGTAATATAATACATTATCAGTGACACATGCTGTTACAGACACAACCCTTTTCTGTCTTTCAATGATTAGTCTCCCTCGTTTACTGCCTCAGTTTTCCTTGTTTGAAAGCCTTAGAACCTCTGTCCATGCAGGCAGTTAATTTTGCGAAGATTCAGTGAAGTCCATCCTTAATTATTAAGGAAAGTTTGATTTTTAAAATTGTAAGTGCTCTTTACTTTCTTGGTTTAATTAAAATTCTGAAAGTTAATAAAATGAGTTGTCATTAGTGATGCCAGATTTAAATTAATTAAACCAACATTTATATTTATTTAGAAGGCTTAGGAAATTTTTTCATAGTTTCAGTTATCTTCATGATAAGATTAAGATTATAGAATAAAATATGTAAGAACCTAAGTATGTGACATTTCCTAAATTCTAGTTATTCATAAGTTTGATCTTGTTTGCTTAAAATAAAGCCTCTCCTGTTCATTCAGGGTACTTTTTTAAAGTAAAAAAGTTAATATTTATTTGATTCATTTTTAGTGATTGAGAACCCTTGTAGCAGTGTTTTCTTTTTTGTTTAGTATGTCTGGACCTAATAGCTCTTCAGAATGGTCCATTGAAGGTCGTCGGTTGGTACCACTGATGCCCCGGCTGGTTCCCCAAACTGCCTTCACTGTAACAGCGAATGCTGTTGCCAATGCAGCTATCCAGCACAATGCGTCTCTTCCAGTGCCTGCAGAAACCGGAAGCAAGGAAGGTGAGTAAAGAAACATTTTTCTACTATTATTTTATTTGCCATCTGTTTTTATCTCAGTGCTTAACCATTATGAAACATAGTGGACAATTCTGATTTTGAAACTGGAAACTGCCAGGTTTTTAATCTCAGTCAATTTTAAATCTAATTTTGGTTGAAAGTGCAAATTATGTTAATCAAAAAATTGCCAAAAGCCTTCTTAGAATGAATATTTTATAACACTATGTCTTGTTAGGAGTGAATAGAGGGCCAGCAGATGGCATGGTGGTTTAGTTGCTGGACTCCTCCCACATGCAATCGCGGTTTGAGTTCTGAACCTTGATAGCTTGAAAATTATGTGGGGCACGTGTGCATGTGTGCCTAAAATCCCAGGAGGAGAATAGAAGAAAAGGGATTGTGGTATGGCCATCCTCCCGGAGGGCGAGGGGGAGGTTAGTTTTCACTTTCTCTCTCTATGTCTCTGTTGAGTGCATTGAGTGCATGTACCTTATGGGGTGTGTGGGGTGGTGTTTAAAAACAAAAACAAAAACAAAAACAAAACAACAATAAGAAAAGAGAAGTAAATACAGGCCTTAATGGATAACATTAAAAAAATAAGATAACAGAAGTCATGAACTGCTATAAAAAGATGCTAAACTTGTAGCTTTAGAAAACACAAGTTTTGTTTTTATCTTCTGGAATCCATGGTTTATGCTAACTTCTCTATTCTAGTCAACATCCATTCTGTGGTAAATGGAAATACTTTCTTATTGTTATTTAATCTTGTAATTGACACATGCTTTAAAAATCCTTGAATTCTCTTGAGGCCACCAAGAATAATATGAAATTTGAGAGAGTATATTTGGTGTCACATGACAATGATTCAGGAAACAATGTGTGTGTTAGATTACACTGGGGAATTGGCTTTTCTTTCCTCGCCTTTGGAGCAGTGGAGCACTCTTTTCGTGCATGCTAGGCTCTTTTTAAGGCTGAAGGAAAATGTACTCGGAGGGAGATATTTATCAGTATGTAATTGGCCTCCATTGAGTTCCTGTTTTCTTGTTGTTGGTGAATATCCTTCCTTCCTTCCTTCCCTCCTTCCTTCCTTCCTTCCTTCCTTCCTTCCTTTTTGCTTTTACCTTTTCCATCTACCAACTCTGGTAGAATGGAAAGAATGTAGGATTTCCAGTAGTCAAATCTATGTTTGACTCTTAGTTTGCCATTTCTTCTCTAAGTGACCTCCAGTAAGTCTCACCTTCTGTGAGCCTTGGGTTTCTCACCTTTAAAATGAGGATGTAGTATTATGAGGATTAGTAATAATATATGGGAAAGATTTAGCACAGTGCATGGTGTCCATTAAATGGTACCTGAGAGCCACTCTTGCTTTTGAACTGTGTCCCTTCATTGAATGATAAAGAGGTTGAAACATGGTGTTACTATTTTTTTTTTTTTTGAGTAATTGTTGTACTGCTTAGATGGCAAATGATTATTGAGTTGGTTTATAGAAAGAATCTTATCTTGGTTCCCTTAGTAGCCATCTTGGAAATTGCTACGGCTAGGGAACAATTATTTATCATCCTAGCATTAGTTCTGTTTTTAGTATTGAAAGGGAATACAACTACATGCCTGTTGTCCAATACCTACTATGGGTGAAAGATGATTTTTATTTTCCTCAGTATAGTATTAAATTTGTTTTCTTTGTAATTGTTATTCGTCGTTTGCAATGTCACCTATAGACAAGGTGTTAAATACTTACGGGAAACCCATGTAAGTTATGGGTTTTTAGGAAAAATTAATAATACCTTTTTACCTATGGACCTAATAACTATTAATAGTTCTGGCCTGTAACTTCTGATCACATGAAAATGTTAAAATTGGCCTAAAATGAAAATAATCTTTATGTATGCCTGTAGAGTTTTGGTGAAAGTTAACAGCAAACTTTTTTTATCGTTCCTTCAGTAGTGGTTTGCTATTCCTACACAAGTACCACGTCAACCCCAACCTCTACCCCTGTTCCAAGTGGCAGCATAGCAACGGTTAAGTCTCCAAGACCTGCCAGTCCTGCCTCCAATGTAGTTGTCTTGCCAAGTGGAAGTACTGTTTATGTCAAAAGTAAGTGACAATTTCAGTGCTGTCAGGGCTGGCTGCCTGGGGCAACTGCTGCAGCATTGGTTCTGATCAGAGCTGCATTCCTGATCAAATCATTGGTCCACTAGCTATTAGCAGTGGTTTGTTTTTGAAGGTGCTAAAGAATTCTGTTCTTTATATGTGGCTAGGTATACATTGCTTTTGAATCAGTTCTGGGGGTTTGAGATTTGACTTTTTTTTTTGTTCTCTGTGGGAAATCTGCCCTTGAACGGTATTATCCTTCAGGTATTCACTTATTTTGATTGCCATGGAATAGACATGTTGTGAATAGAAACTGAAGGAATACGCTTATGTGATTTACTTAATATTTATTCCTATAACTGTAATCTTTATAGTATTTGCTTAAATTTTTTTTAATGTAGCGTATTGAACTGTTAGATTTGGTGAAGCAATTCTAGAGTCATCTTTTATATTTCTAGTTAATAGTAATTAAGATTTTTTTTATCTTTTATTCTATTCTGTGAAACAGTTTGATCTCCAAAATCATGTTTTTTGTTTGATTTTAAGTTCTATCATATCAGTGCTGCTTTTTATTTTTAAATTTATTTTAGAGGCAGCCAGGTGGCATAGTGGTTAAGGCAACTGGATCCCACTTGGCCAACTGTGAGGTTCGAGTCATAGACCTGGTTTGGAAAACATTCTAGACCTGTGTGTGCGCTCATATTTGCCCAAAATTGCAAGGGAGAGGATGGAGGAGAAGGGATAGTGGTGTAGCCATCTCCCTTGCGGGGTGATTTCTTACTTACCCTCTCTCTCTCTCTGGCATGCACATGTGTCCTATAGCAAATTAAAAAATAATATTTTTTTGCCATGCTTTTGATATAAATTGGAAATCATTAATTTTTTATTTTAATTTTTCTTAGTATAGTCACAAATTTGATTCTTTGTAATTTTTACAGGCAGAGTTTTAGACAGGGATGGTTCTAGGTCAGTGTCATCCTATTTAAAGTCTAAAAATTGAAGGTATAAGGAGTTATATTTCATCACCAGTTCCATGCTTTATGTTTTATAATCTTTTATGTTTGCTCTGTCGAAATTTCCTATGTTAAGTTGCTATGTTTTTTACTTGATTTTTTAAAGTCAGTAAAAGCAATGTATGCTTTAGTGGATAAAGAAAGAACAAACCCAAGAATCCAAAGCCATTAATTAGGTTTATATCTGATTTCTGTCAATTTCACCATAAGTGTAGAGATCTATTTTTTCTTTAAGTACTGGAAGCAAATTCCAAATAGGAAGAAACAATTTTACATAGTATGTAAAGTTTTAGGAAGTTTGTTGCTTTATATTCAGAAATCATGTAGACAGCATAGGGACATAATCATTTATTCACCTAATTTTATATGTGCAAGGCACTAATTCTGGGAAACAAATAAGATTTAGTCATTGCTCTCTGGTGACTCCTTAATAAAGGGAGGTGTGCAAACAGTCATGTTGCCATGGGGTGAGAAGAGAAAATGCAAAGTGCTTTTTAAGCTCAGAGGAGACCTAGATTAGCTTTGCTTAAAGAAGTAAGGGAAAGCTTCACTGAGGAGGTGGTTTGAAGCTGATGGTTATTGGATGATAAGGTCATTGACGATAGGTAGTATTCTTTAAAGAATGATTGCAGGGAACCAGCAGTTAATGTAATAGCTATGTCCCTGGACTCCCATGTAGTTGACCGCGGTTCGCGTCCTGGACCCGGTGGCTTAAAACTCACGCCGGGCGCGTGTGCGTGCGTGCCCAAGATCCCGAGAGGAGAATGGAGGAGAAGGGATTGCGGCGTGACCATCCCTCCTGGGGGTGATTTCTCGCTTTCTGTCTCTATGTCTCTCTCTCTCTCTCTCTCTGGCGAGCGCACGCGCCCTATAGCGAAAAACCTCTCAAAAAAAAAA